GAAGGAATGCTTTGCCCGGTGTTCATCTAGCGAGGACGATCCTCTAATCTGGCTCGCGATAGGGACAAATAGAGATCTCATTGGCGCCCGCTCGAGGAAATCGATGATCAACGGGACGGAGGTATTACAGGTGATGGAAAACCATTTCCCATAACTAGTACACTTAGACAGGGAATTAGCATTAAAACTAATTGACATGGCTTTTCCTTACTAGTTAGTATAACCACAAAACGACCCTTCGTGGAAATCACAGTAACCATGGCAGTACATCCCAGCTCTGTCCTTTCTCAATTCATTTCTAAAGGTTTTTTTCTCTAGGATGATTTTGAGTTGGATTCTTTTAAAAATGGGGATGCAACATTGGGTGATGCCGTGGCTCACAACTATATACATGGTCCTGGGATTAGATCCAGAAATGATATCTTCCTAGGCAAGAGGTTCTTCTACGAAATCGCGCAGGATTGGTTCAAACGCGTCTTGGAGCATAGAAAAGCACCACATTGGCAGACCCTTAGCAATTAGTTTATAGACCCTAACAAACTTGAGCTTCATTACGATTTCGAATGAGTATAGGGCAAATGGGGACATCTAAAAAGGACGATGGCCACCTCGAAAAACTCTGTCCTTTGCCCTCCATACCAGAAACTCCAGCCTATATAACGTGAGCCCATTTAACGTGGGCAGCGCCTTTGGTAGAAACTTATATCAGAATCGCTGTTGATATAAATTCAGCTGGTTTATGTTTACTGACTGAAAAAAACTTCAAGTAACATCAGTAGCACAACGAAGCCGACCATTTTGCCCCATCAATGACCTATTTATTTTTGGGATGCACCGAACCTCAACAGAAATTCATGAAAATAAGGCAGTAGTCTCCCACCACAGTACGACAGGGAAGCGAAATGAGTCAACGGGCGTAGAAGAGATGGAAGTAGAGGCCGACGTCGTTGTGGTAAGTGAGAAGCAAACGATGGAATTGACTCGTCGCAACCGGGTACTCGAGCGAGAGTGAGAGGTAAACGATGAAATCGAAGTACTCTTTGTCGCTCTTTGAATGCAAATATTTAGGTCTAACATTGATGTGGGAGACGCAGACATTGCATTACTTCATCGAATTCCGATAGTTATCCTTAGTGGAAGCCAAAAAAAAAACTTTTTTTGAAGTCGTCAATGTTGCTTAGCAACAGAATGACGCCTTAAAACTACATTGTTGCTTCAGAGGAACAATTAAGTTCTCACTGTAGGTTGGAAAACAAACATCTTCACAGTGTTCACAGTGACACCAACGGGTACCCGCCCTAACCGGAACCATGACGATTCGTTTTGTGAACAGATTATACGCTGCTCTTAGAGTGCAAAACGAGATTGTATACCTCCCTTGTGACTTGTTTGAGAAGGGGCATATAGCCAAAGGATTTCTGTGATGGAATTCACTGTGGTCATTGGGACAGGGATGAGAATAAGCTTCGGTACTTATTTGGACCCCCTCCAGTAGAGGAATCGCTCGAGAGTGATTGCCAGCCCACCGACAGACCTTTCATTCTACCAAAAGTCAATTTAGGCCGATTTGCAGCTCTTTTTCTTGAAATGAGCAAAGGATACTTAGTAAGTTTCAGCAAAGCACTACTACCAGTAAGGCCATTGGCCTTGTGATTGATAATTTTTCAGATAAAACGCCATGAAAATGTTTTCTGAAGATAATCACAAATCTCATTGCTATGTATAGAGCCTAAACATCGATCCACTAAGGCGGTCGATAAACATTGAGAAAAAGATTGTAGCGGCCCATCTCTAATCAGCTTTGAACGACTAGCAATTTCACTTTATTTATGAGATAATCCAGTAAGGCGACTTCCTAAATATGGCAAGATATAAAGGAATATCAGATATTAGAGCACGTTACGATATAATGCAACTATTCCGCTGCATCGTTCCGTTTTCCTTAGCCCGCTACGGTCCTTGTTAGATCTTTTTCTGCATGACCAGCAAAAGGAACTCAAATTTATTCTGAGGAACTACCACATCTTTCAGGTATCCCGTATCTGTGCTGTGTTTTAGAACGTCCACCTATATGAACGATTGAAACAATTTCATCGCTCATATTTCTATCAGACGAGTGGTAGGTATATAAGCAAAGCTGAGGCTGAACTATTTCTCAGAAAGCTGGTATGTTGTAAGACGAAAGTAACAGAGCGAAAACCTATGCTTGGGACTGTGAAACCGGTTTCAGCCCCGAGAACAAATCCGCCAGCAGCAAATCCTCGATGAAGGCAGAGCCTCACGGGGAACGAGTCGCAGTGAACCAATCAATGTGCGTTTCACGAAAGCGACATCGGAAAGTTAACGATTAAGGCTTATGATAACTATGTGGGGAACAATGTGCTACTGGGCCACAGAACATCGATGCCAACAACATTGATGGAAGGTCTGTTCGCAGCAGTGGAGCCTAGTTAGCAGTAGAAGGCATTAAGAATGAACTCCATAACTTTCAGTTTGGCAGCTTGCATGAAGCCCTCGAGAATAGGCCACGCACTCGACTGAGCTCCGGTATCACAAAAAGTTTGACAACGTACTTGTTCCAGGCAATTAGCTATGCAATCCGTCCGAAACGACAGCTTTCGTATTCTCATCAATCGGATGAAGCCATTATATTCAGCCGAGTCAGGGGTAAAAAATTCGAGGTAGTTAGGAGGTTAAGGTCCAAATTATTTTTCATCGCCTACATCGACGATCGAGTTTTTTTTTACATTACATATCAAAATATAGGTAAGTCATGCCAGTCGTGTCTTGTCGCCTTCGACTATTACAGCAACAAAACTAAAAAGTAGACATCAGGACAGCTATTCAAACAAACCCTATCCAGCTCAAGATGAGGGAGTAGCGCCTGCACCTTCTGAGAAAGTTACCATATTACTATATATGAAAAGCCAGTTGAATTGGAAGTCTAAGGGAAGAGATCAGGAGCAGTTACGAAAAAAGTGGGAGGAACGTGATCAAGAACGACCTCGTGGAAACCAATCTAATAACAAAAGGTACCGTTAGAAGTGAAGACGACTGGCAAGAACAGAGGGCCCTGGGACGGCGATGGGGCTATCGCTGAGGAGAAGAAGAAGATATTGAAATTTGAACATTACTTTATATAAAGTTCTAGGGGCTACAGTCATTTTTAATAAGAAAGGTTTAAAAATGAAAAAGATCTAAAACCTTAATTTCATAAAAGTAAATCTGGATTTCTTAGTGTAATTTTAGATTTGTAATATAAATAGGAATTTACGTTATTCTCCATCATTACCGTAACCATAAGACCGTTAGAAAAAATCAAGTAACCATAAGAAAAATAGATCCCCGAAATCGATCGATCCACGTGAAAATACCTAAGGTTATGCATTTCTGCAGAATCCTTCCGATACTTTCTATTGTCAGGCACCATTGAAGCTAATTAGCATCTTGGCCTGATTTTTAGAAAACACGACGTATTGTTTCTCGCAAGCCAACTCATCTGAGAAACGAGCGGCAACGAGTCGTCTACAACTTTTTTTCCTAACCAGTAACCTGAATTCTATAGTGATCACCATGGAACGTAGAGCAAATGGATGCAACTATTCATTTCGATAAAATCCGGTCGAAGATCTCGTCATGCGCTGGACAATCAAAAACGCCTCGAACATCCTCCTCTCTAGGAGCCTATAACCTCCTGAACCCATCCAAGTTGACTCACCCCTCTAGAAACCGGATACTAGACTACCCCCATTTTAGTAAAAACAATAAACAAAATTATAATGTCTCTGTACAGCCACCATTGAAGGAATGAGTGATGTTTTAAGAAGAATATGTAATAAGTACTTATTCATCACAGGATATTTATAGGACGGGTCAGAAAATGAAGTAAAACCATTCTATGGTCCGGTATAGCACTAAAACGAAAATTCAGTCCGGCACTCAGCTCTTACAGTAACCCCATGGCTTACCCAACCACCCACCAGGTGTCCTTGCCCAAAGCCCTTTTCGACGCGTCGTATATGTGACGGGTAAAAACTTCCGTGTTAACACGTGCCAGATTACTGTAAGAGCCGAGTGCCGGACTGAATTTTCGTTCCTGTCGGTACAACAGCTTAATTGACTTTTAAATTTTGGATTAAGTCTTGAACCAACTAAATAATACGTTGTGAGAATGAGAATATCTTTGGGAACTGAACTAGAATTGAGCTGAGTTCTAGTAAACTAACCATATGCGCGGTATTGAATGGGAGGTGGACCAAACTCTCGACTCCATGTTGTCCAGCAAATTATACTTGTGCTTAGTGTTGTAGAGGGTATGTGCTAAATTTCTTATTCAGTTAAACAAATTGCAACCTGCTGTGGGGCTGGTCACAAAGTCGCTGATTCTGCATAAAAGTCAAGTGAAGGGCGCAGACCAAAATGACAAGAACCATTCCCTCTTTATCTTCTAGCCGTCAGATAACATGAGACTCAAGGGTTCCTTCTGTAACAAAATGAACCACGACTATCTACCGCATGTACCCAGTTTTCTATAAGACAATCATAGAGGCCCTTTCCTTTTAGATTTTCAGAAGTGTCAAAACACAGTAGTGAACAGCTGTGGAAAAATTCGGTAAACATAAACAACATTTTTAGGATGCTAACTTATTGGTCCAGGTCCAGTCGGAGACCGCACGTCCCACTCGTGACTCAGATCACTTATGTATGAAACGTTCACAGTGTGAATTATGGCGAGACAAAAAGCAGTTACCAGAGCAAAAGGCCTCAAAACAACTCGATAGGGACTATCAGTTTTAAAAGTACATTAATCAAAGAGTGCTAGACAATATAGAGAAGTTGGGGGTAGGTAGCTGCAAAAACTGCAGGAAAGACAAGAAATGGAGTGAAAGGATGTCAAGAATAGCGCATATTGTGTAGTTATCGAAAGAACGGGTTGCACCGTTGGAAATGCGGTCAGCGCTGCAAGCGAACGAGGACAACGTGATCGGGGATGGTCGAGGCTATTTGATCCGAAGGACGTCAACGAAATGTGTACGTCCTTCAGTTCAACGCTGAACTACCGGTTCATGAGGACAAACCAAAAAATACGCTGTGACCACAATTCCGGAACCCATTAAGAATTATCAGAGTCACAGTGAAGTGAAAGCCATGTTAAACCTGCCCAAACACCTCCCCATGACGAAAAAGAAAGTGAAAAATGCTCAAGAAATGGTTGTTTCGCGATAAGGTCGCCTACCTCCATTACTTCGACTTGTCTACGTGCCAAGCAGCAGCAACTTCATGCTAATCGGCCAAAAAGTTCCGCCATAGCACAGCCGGGAACCATTTCCGGTGGCCATAGACTCACGTACTTATAGAAAAGTAGGAAGTGGGTGGGTAAAGATGCAAAGTGACGGCATTTGAGGAAAGTGTACTTCCCTACAAGAAGGCATAGCCCCCAACCAACAAGTAGTAGATGCCAGTTGATGGGAAGCTGTAAATCATCAAGACAAAGATACCTGGAACCCCACTGTCCATAACAAAAGGGAAACGACTTCGATTCAGAGGAATAGAGGCGTAACTAAAACGTGAAGGCGCCGACCAGCTGTGGAAAATGGTGAGGTGCGAGTAATTGCCATGGAAACACAACAATTATCTGTCTGAGAACACCCGCTCGCAACCGTACCCGTGGAAAACTTCTCGTCCCATAAGCCGTCTAAACCTGAAAATTGATTTGGATCCTTTGAAGACTCGTTCTCGCTCGAACAGCATCCCCGCTTCAAGAACTAATTGGCACATTCCTGCGTTTACGTAAGCCTAATAGGCTCCCATAAGGAGTGTCCATAGACTCTCTAGGAACCTAAGCATATCATACGTACACGATGATATCTCCTTTAGAGGCACAGTTCACGACTAAAATGCTTTCTGAGATAGCCCCACCTCAGACTGATCCTCTTGCCTCCCAAGTAATCATTGCTACACATTATAAGGAACTGTCATGTCGGAGAACGACCTAGATAAAACGTTAAAGAGAATTAAAGACTGTATCGGCTGTAGGCCATACCCAAAAGTGCACGAGTTTCAGCGGCTCAGCGGCGTTGTGGTGACCGCTCCATTTACAAGGGTAACTAACTATCTCTTCTATGCTATTTCCTTCACGGAAATCTCGTACAACCGCTGCTTTCACCACGCAAGGAAGCCTCATCTTTATCAGAATCAACTAATTTACTTGCTTTCTTCGCCACCAATGCACTGTTCCCTACTGACTCTTTCGCTTTCCAACCCAAAACATAGAATCTCAAAATACCTCAAAATAAGAGTTAAGAATAAGGGAACCTCAAAATTATTGTAAGCTGTGCCTTCGAGAAAGGTAAATTTCAGAAGCCGAAAAAAGAGTTGACGATAAGTTACGGTTTTGTCAGATCTCATCTATGTGGGAGTTGATCCTCCACTTCCGCAACTTATACAAAAATCTCTGATTTACTTTGAATAGATTTGGAGCTGTGCTGTGTAACTATTTCGAAACAGCATTCACTGGTAATGAGCACAAAGTAAATCAACCTGAAATCCAGGAGTGAACGGTCCGTTTTCATACATCGTAGGGGTCTGCTTTAGCGTCCGGCTTGTGGTGGTTTTCAATTTCTCAGTGGCCCTAAAAAAGCTTGTAGGAGCAGGTTGATGCTCATCGAAGCGTGACCGTTTTCCTAGGCACGAAGGGTATGAAAGAAATGTACGCCGGATGTATAAGAGCCGGTTAGCTGCTGAGCCATACATCGAATGTGAAACGTTCTATGACCAAGATCAAGTTACAATTGAAGCTCCTTCCATCCAGGCAGTAAGAAGCCATGAACCAGTCGTGCTCATGGTCAACTGGGCATCGGGAATTTGATTTTTAGGTAGCAATGATAGCTGAGAATTTGTAGACAGCTTGAGGGAGACGTTGACTAATTGCACTTCCCACCCGACCCTTGAGGGCTGTTTTCTCATGAAGACAAATATAGTATGATCAATGGTTACTCGTGGTGATAAGCAGAACTGTCAGCTGGACACCTTCCTACAGGCATCAGTTCCGTCTCACAGTTAAGACCACAACTTACTACTGTTTTCTGTTATGTTCTATGGAGCCAATCTTCTTTCAACTATAAGTACCCATCAAGAGCCTACCGAACTTTGCAAAAACCTGTGCAGTCTCTTGGCAATAATGGCGTTCGGTCAAGAACGACCGGAGAGACAACGTGCAAATCAAGGGGTATCACATGAAGATTATACTTGTGCATTAATATTAGATATCGGCTATTACCACCAGAGAGCTGGTTTGCTGAATATTACGGAGAAATAGTTCTGTGATCACAGTATTTTAGGTATTGGCGACTTTACTTTTCACAAGTCAGTAGGTCCTGGGATGATGTCCGAAGAATTCATTCGAAGCCCTGAGATTATCGAAGGCAGCTGAGGGTTTCGCAGTTGAGGAGGCTTTCCTCTCACTCTAATCATAACCTTTATAACCAGGACATTCGAGTCAGTCCTTCATTTACAATCGGTTTTCTGCTACCGATGCATCGATGATAGCAGAACTATATCCCTTGGAGGGAATAATACGGGTGGTGCGATCGGTTTTAGGGGTAAGGTGCGAGATATGACCATCCCTCCTCTCAGTCAAATCCAACTTGAGTATGGATCGGATAGAGAGACTTCCATTCAGGAATCTAGTAAGACGGGTTCCAGGCGATAGGACACGGAAACCAAAGGCGGAGCTCCTGTTAACAATGAAAACAATAGGCCAGCAGTTTTCTGAATGTCGAGTGTTGCCCAAAGACCCTTCCCATTATCAGAAGAAAAAGCTAGGAACGATCTCAAAAATGTTTAGACTTGAATATTCGAGGGCGAGCGGGGTCTCGGTAGTGTAAGGGATAAGTGCACGGTCCCCGGAAAGGACAAGCACGGGTTCAAGTCCCGTCCGAGACTGGGGTTTTGTCCACAAATCGCCAACCTTGTGAGGATCTCAAAAATCTTGTTAACGATCCCGAGAGGGAAGGTTATTCGGGTTAAAATGAAATGAACTTGTAATTTGGTGACTGATCCTAAGAGAGCGAATCGAGTGACTACCCATGGGAAGAATTCGAATACACGAGAGGGGCAGGGGTGGAAAGGTGACGTGGTAGCTCGGAGCAACCGACGCTTTTTAAATAAGTCCTATTTGTTCTTCTCTTTACCTCTCTTGTGGAGCCTTCTTCACCTAGTAATCATCGTGATGACGATTCTTCGACGGAATGGTGACTCATCCGGGAGGGGTCCTGAAGGCGCAACCGAAGATGGGATGGTATATCATTAGGGAAACATATGGATTGCAAATGTTCATGCTGAATAACACCTCACAGAAAAGGTAAGTAAGAGAAATTCGAAGGATCCGATCCTTTCCAAGCCTTCTCGTTTTCAGCACTGTAAGGGAACATGATGAAGGAGAAGGGCGTTGTTGCTAAGACAAAAAACTTGGCAATCGTTTAAGGGAGTGGTCCCACTTTGCAACACAATCCGATGTCTCCAGCGGTTTGGCATGACTGTCGAGTGGAATCATTAACGGGAACGGGCGTTTTAAACAAGTTTCGGGCCCTTCCTGCTCTCTCTCTCTCTCTGGGCCGCCTTTTCACATGACAGCACCCATATCGTTTTGATTTGATGTTCTGTTAAAGGCACTGCTTACGAAAAAGTGGTTTCGGAGATTTGCACATGGTTTGAATTCGAAGCCCCCTCTGAAACCATTTGTGCAGGAATGAGGTCGGAAAACGGCTGGATAGGGCACAATAAGGGGCCGGAGAGGTATCCACGGTCGCCCTCCGCCCCTTGATCGGTGTCACGTTAGACGAGTGTCGAGACGACACAGTGTCATGTAATCGCGCCAGGACCCACCCTGAATTGCAAATTGGCAAATTACCAGGGACGCAATGTGTTGCATGNCCAGGGACGCAATGTGTTGCATGCTATTGCAGACAACACATTGCGTCACTGGCAAGTTGCCAATTTGCCGTCCCTGGCAATTTGCCAACTTGCCCGAACACTCTCTAACCGACGTTCTTTCACTGTGAAACTCGTCCAACCCCCTTTCCAGCTCTTTTTTGGCCCTTTTTAATTCTTTTCGTTCGTCGTTTTTTGCGCTTTTTTCGTTGTTATCGCTTTATTCTAGAGTAGTTCTATCAATTCCCGTCAGAAAAGGGTACCCTAACTTTTTTGTGATAGGTGCCTTTAACTGCTGTTATATCGCCGCAGTACGCGTTCCGAAAGTCTCACAAGGTTGGCGATTTATGGATAAAACTTTAGTCTCGGACGGGACTCGAACCCGTACTTGTCCTTCCCGGGAACCATATCGTTTTGCCTACCGAAATGTTCCGTCCCAATAGGAGCGCTACAAAACCAATGTCGGCTGAGCAACAAAATTTCTTTAACACAACATGGGGAAAGTGTCGTGTGGAGTGGGAAGCGTTGCCTTCTCAGGTTATAATGCTCCAACTCTCATTTATGAGGATAGGTGCTGGGGCAATGAACATTCTATCCCGAGCTATTGCTTTCTCTAACGGACTGCTGTCTCAGACTAGAACAATTACAAAAAGATAAGATTAGGTCGTTGGGTCAAAACAGTGATGGAGTCACACTTTTATAGTTACTAGAGAAGTTCACTGTATGCTTCTGCTTTGGCTCCAGGGTGTCCCAAAATTATGGTCGCCACAAGTCAAGCCTTTCTGACAATAATAATTTATTACGCCAACTTTATCCATTGCTAACCAGTTGCACAGATAGGCTTCCAGGAAATCTGCATGATTATCGGGGTAAAAATCCCAATATCTTCAAGATGGCAATGACTCATTGGATGCAACCAGCAGTAATTCCCGTGCAAAATGCGTGAAGACACCATGAAACTACTCAGAAGGTAAGTTAATAAAAAAAATAGAAAGACCAGGATCAATCCGACACAAATCCTGTTTGGGAAGAGAGGCCATCGTTTCCAATACAGGACTATCGAAATAGTTATTTTGCAAGCCAGTCGTAATTCCGGGTGATTGATCAGGATGGCAACGGACCTGGACGTACCGAAGTCGTCGATTGGACAAATTGTTCAGTAAAAGCTTCATAGCTAATCCTACATCCCTTAATCATTTTCTCGGATGGGAAAATCTTCATGATAGGGCCAATTTTCAACGATCGCCTTCTGGGTAGAACGTTGAAAGTGCTACCGATCGCAAAAAAAACTGTTTCACGAACAGCAAAGTGGTGATTGAAAGGAAGTAACAGGCATTTGTGAGCCGCCATTGGTTTTCGTGGGTGTCGATTGAAAACCTACGTACATAGACGTATACCCAAAGAAAGTTCTAATGGTTGAACTGGAGCCTACTAGACGACTGGGCCGACAGAGCGAATCTCATTTTAGTAGCAACCAGAATAGCCATCCTGCTCGACAGCTCTTGACCCACATGACTTCTCCGTTTGGTCCCTGATTGAAAGGGGAACTTGTCAAGCTCGCCATTTTAGGGTGGAGTCCTTGAGAACGGGATTGAAAAACGGGTGGGAAAGAACGGAGGACGGACAAATACACACCGCGAGGGGTTCGATAACGAACTTTGAGCTTGTACCAATGCGAATGGAGGGCTGAGATTCTA